CACAGAGTTGATCCAGCAGGTCCGTAGCAGACTGCAGACTGCGCAGAGTCGGCAGAAGAGTTACGCCGACAGGAGGCATTCGGATTTGGAGTTTCAGGTGGGTGATATGGTCCTCCTGAAGGTATCACCCTGGAAGGGTGTTATCAGGTTCCGGAGGAGGGGCAAGTTGGGCCCCAGGTTCATTAGTCCGTTTAGGGTTTTAGCCCGGGTGGTTCGGGTTGCTTATCGGTTGAATCTTCCAGCAGAGTTTAGCCAGATCCACAACACTTTCCATGTTTCTCAGTTGAGGAAGTGTTTGGCGGACGAGTCAGCAGTTGTACCCTTGGAGGATATTCAGGTTGATAGCAGCCTGAATTATATTGAGAGGCCCGTTGCAATCTTGGATCGGAAAACGAAGACCTTGAGGAACAAGGTAGTCCAGCTAGTGAAGGTGCAGTGGCAGCACCGGAAGGGTTCAGAATGGATGTGGGAGGCCGAGGAGGAAATGAGGGAGCATTACCCAGAGATATTTATAGATTCAGCAGCAGTAGACTTCGAGGACGAAGTCTAAGATAAGTGGGGGAGAGTTGTAACGCCCCATTTCTGGTATGTGATTTAAATAAAGTAATTTTCATTTCTTAAGGGGTACTTGACGAGTCAGTAGCCCGACTCGTCGAGTAGAAGCAGGATTTGCACGCGATTTAAGTTGGCGACTCGACGAGTTCATATTCCCGGACTCAGCGAGTCTGCCAGTCTGGATGAAACCCTAATTTCAAGGGTTTGCACCCTATTTAAACATCTTATGTGCCCCAAGACCAGCCTCCCTCACTCGCAAAGAGTCTCATACGAAACCCTAGCCGTTCTTAAGCATTTTTGGAGCATTTTCTCACTTGTGAAGGTTTTTAGTGCATCTTGGGGATTTGGGAAAGAAGAGAGAAGAGAAGTATTCAAGGGGAGCAAGTAGATCCAGACTTCTGGTTGCATTTCAGTCCCCTTTGAGGTATCAAGCTTGAATCTTTGCTTATTATCAATTAGATCTCTTGAGAAGTTTGCTCTTGTTGATTTTGAGCCCTTTCTAGACCTTAAGGTCAAATTAAGAGTTAATATGATGAATGGACTTCAGATCTAAGCTTTCCAGAGCCTCTTAAGCTCAAGGTTGCCACCTTTATTGATCCAAGTTTCCATTCCAAGGTTAGATCTCTTCCTTTAGCTTATTTTGGGTATTTGAGCTTCATATTAGCATGCATGCACGTAAAGTTAGAAACTTTACGTGAAAAACCAGCCCTAGGAGCCCAGATCTATGAATGGAATGCACTGGATTAGAGAAGAATCGACTGTTTAGTAATGACATACATGGGACTCGGCGAGTCGTTCTTCAGACTCGACGAGTCGAGTCGCGAGTCCCCGATTTTCCCCATTTGAGAGTTTAAGGTGGAATCAGTGAGTAGGTAATGGACTCGGTGAGTTAAGACTCAGATCTAGTAGTGGAGGGACTCGACGAGTTGTTCATACAACTCGACGAGTCAAGGACTGATCTCATTCATACGATGAAGGAGGACTCGACGAGTTGTTCATACAACTCAGCGAGTCAGATGAAGATGAACTAGATGTTAGTATCGAAGAAGAACTCGTCGAGCCTTTGCCAAACTCGACGAGTAGAAGCGGGTAGAGGATTAGAAAGGATGATAGGGACTCGGCGAGTTGGCGGCCCAACTCGGCGAGTCCGGTCAACTGAAAGTTGACTTTGACCAGGATGTTGACTTTGACTAGGGGTAAAATAGTCATTTTACCCTGAGAGTAGTTATCAGTATCTGATTTAGTGTTTATGGGATTTGTAGCCAGGGAGTTCCGGAGCAGCAGTCAGACAGTTTCAGATTTAGCATCTCAGCAGCCAGCATTACAAGGTGAGTTTCCTTCCAGTAGGAACGGGTCTACGGCCACAATGCCAACCCGTTTAGTTAGCAGTAGTTCCGGACTTCGGTCCGATGCAGTAGTTCAGTGTGCTTGAGGTCTTTTTGATTCAAGCATGTCTTTGTGTTATGTGTTCCGGACTTCGGTCCGATGCAGTATGTAGTATATGTGTTCATGCTAGTAGTTACGATTATGTTATGCTATGTTCAGTCAGTTGCCAGACTTCAGTCCGATGCAGAGGGCAAGGCCCTGGTTAGTTCCAGACTTCGGTCCGATGCAGTTTCCGGACTTCGGTCTGATGCAGAGGGCAAGGCCCTGGTTAGTTCCGGACTTCGGTCCGATGCAGTTTCCGGACTTTGGTCTGATGCAGAGGGCAAGGCCATGGTTAGTTCCGGACTTCGGTCCGATGCAGTTTCCGGACTTCGGTCTGATGCAGTGGGCAAGGCCCAGTATGTGCTTTATATGTTATTGTATGGTATGTGGTAGTTTGGGGGAGCTCACTAAGCTTTGTGCTTACAGTTTCAGTTTTGGTTTCAGGTACTTCCGCTAGCAAGGGGAAGAGCTCGGGATGATAGCATGGCACACACCACAGTTATAGTTTTATCGTGGGAGTTTTACTCTGTTATCTTGATATGATTTGACACTAGTTTCGATTTGATAAGTTTATTATGACGTTTTGAGATACATGATTCATGGTTTTATCTTATAATATTTGATATTATGGTTTAGTAAAGTTTTCAAACAAAAATATTTTGGGTTGTATTTTGGGACGTTTCACTCACTATATTGCACTAAAAGGTAGTACAAGGCAAGTAGGGTCGATCCACAGAGACACGGGATAATCAGTCTATACCTCTTTGCACAAGGTACTATGGTCACCAACAGTAAAAAGGAGGGGTTTAGAATGCAATGATTAAAACAAACAATTAAAAACACAAGTAATCAGCTAAATGAGTGAATTAAATTCAGAATTTATAAGGACTCCAACTCTATGTATGACAACTTAGCAGTGCGATTCCAAGATAACATGATATTTGCTCAATTCTATCTAAGTTGGTACTTGAAAGTGTTAACAAGCTCTAACACTTCCCATTCACCACATTAATTAACCAAAACAAACTCTTTGATTAACCCTAACCTTACTAACCTAATCTAAACAAGCTCTTAGAATTAGATTAAAAGATTGTATTAAGCTTTATGTGAATATTCCCAACAGCACCCAATACTTCTCACAAGCTCGGGAGTGTAAAAGTGTGTGAAATGATTTACACTAAATTCATTCAATCGGAAACAATTTAATGCTTGTTACTTAGTCCAATTCACAAAACAATTACGGATTTTGCAAAATAAATAACTTGAATGACCTAACCCTAATTCAAATGGCCAATAAGAATCACAATTAGAATCAAACATTCAATTGAAGCAAAATCAATTTCACTATATAGAAATTAAAAGCAAACATCAAGTCATATGATTGAAATCACAACCAAGAAGTCAAAACATGAAGTTGGAGAGACTAGGGTTCTAGCCACACATGGCTAGAACAAAATCACAAGTTGTAAAGATGGAAATGATGTGCAATTACAACTTACGAATAAGAGAAATAATGTTTCCAAATGCTAAACGATCAAATCTTTGCAAAAACCTTCGAGATTCCCTCACCAATAGTGCTCTGATATGTTGTGTATGCCTAAAAATGACCCAATTCCCGTGATAAGAAAAATAGGAAAAACTGTCAAAAGACAGTTTTTGGGTCGAACACGGCCCGTGTCAAAATAGAGTAAATCAACACGGGTCATGTTTAGTGAAAAATGGTCTTCAATCCTCAATTCCAACTCCAAAGTTTGATGCTTAAAACTGTTCAGCTGGGCCAACACGGCCGTGTCAAAATAGGCTAAAATGACACGGGTCGTGTTCAGCAGGGTCAAACTCTTCTTTTATGGTCAACACGGCTCGTGCCCATTCTGCAGTGTAAAACCAACATGGTCCGTTTACCCCTCTGACTCCAATTTCAAACTTTATTTTTTCAACTTTTCCGCTTTGCGTTCGATCAATCCGAAATCTTCACCAATGCTTCCCGGCACCTCCAAAATCACAATCCAACCTCCGTTTTACCTGAAAAAGACATGAAAGTGTGCAAATAAGGTTGTTCTAGATACTAAAATGAATATGATAAAATGCAAGAAGAATGAAGTATAACTAAGCTAATTAAATGCATAAAAAGGGACTAAAAGGTGTGCAAAAATGTGCACAAAATGTACCGCTATTACCTTTACCGGCGACTTTTCTAGTCTTTATTGACGACTTTTGTCACTGCTAATTCCCTTTTTTCTTGTAGTGTTCGTACATATGTAAATAGTACATATAATTTGGTTAAATAAAGGTATACCATGGACCATGAATAATTTAGTTGTACAAAAGATTGAGTGAAAAAAAAATGAACCTTGAAAAACGAAAATCTGTTTGTGGATGTGGGTAATCCGAATTTAGAGACTGAATACGGACAGATTAGTCACTTGTTTAAGGAAAATGATTGTCTTTCTTGTTACACCATTGAGAAGAATCTTGATCTATGGAGACTACTTTGGAGTGTTATTGAACGTAACGATCTGTAATGTTGGCATATTGTGGCTTTGTATTTATTTTTCATATCTGAATAAATCTGACCACAAAAAGTGTATTACCAAATCAATTATTTGAAAATTACATCCCAATTCATACTTTTGAGCAAAAGGATAAGTGGATACAAGGGGGTATATTAAATAATATTGTATGGTAGATGATTTCCCATTGCAAGTGTTTGAGAAGTTGAAATGGTCAATCCGTCGGTAGTCTGTCAAAACTCACAAACACAAACCGTCTGGAATCCGTCACAAGAATCTGTCACAACTACTTCCGTCAGAAAACTGTCACAAATTTACCTACGCAGTTTTTGCCCTTGTTTTCTAGTAGTGATATTATCATATTGTGCTCTTGATCTTTCTCATGTAGACGAATTGTGTTGGCTTACTTCTTTTCTTGGTGGGCTTTCCCTAGTCTCAGTTCTTTAGTATGACAATATTAGCAATTGACATATCTAGCAATCAATCCTAAGTTTATGTAAAACAAACTAATCAATATCTTAGAATATTATAAAATTATTCCGAAAACTAATACATACTACACCACACGGGAGCACCAACTCCATAATTATTATAATAAGTATCATTACAAGGCCATGCATGCATTACAATTTACAAACCAAGAGAGTAAGGGAAACCAGTGGATGGCAACCAACTTCCACCTGCAATGAAGCTTCCAGCAGTAAAACTTTCGGCCTCCGCAACATCCGTAATCACACCCCACCCTTTCCATGTTACCCTCTTAGACGTATCTGCCCCAGGCCCTGTGTTTTGATACTCCCGATAATACAACGTATCTAGAGCAAAATCCCCATCCCAAGGGTACCATCCAGCAGGGTCAATGACGTCACTTATCGACGACTGCATCACCACTGTTCTTGAATACTCCTTCCATGGCCTTCCAAGATACGTCGGAAAACTGGCTTGAACCGGTAGCAGGTCTGAATTGGCAACGATGGTGCACTTTTGAATGACGATGCCGGTGTTTTGGTTTGGGTCGGTTCGACCTTGAGCGGTGAGCATGTTCTTTTGTTTGGGATTGGGGCGGCGGGGTTGGATGTTACAGTTTTGGAGGACGACGGCGGCGTTGCCAAAGATGAAATCAACGGTGCCGACGACCATGCAGTCAACGAAGAATTGACGATTGGAATGGACGTAAAGGGTATCTTGGTAGGCTAGTATACCACATCTATAGAATGCAGATAAATCGGCCCCAACACGTAGTGCTACTGCTTGATTTCCCGATGGCCCGGCTGCATTTTGAAATGTTATATCTCGTGCCAAGAATCCATCACCTACCGCAGCTGTGATCAAGATATTTAGTCAGTTCTTAATTCGAATTGAAAGCTCCTTTTTTTTCTCTTGCTAAATCAATATATATTTTGTGTATCCTCAAATATTAACTATTTTCCTTCTTTATATTCATCAAAATTGTCTTTTATTGTTATTATTACAATCTTATATAATACCCTTTATATCTCTTGCTTTATATCTCTTGATTGATCATTGAAAAGGTAAATATATCCATGATAACTTTAAAATATTAAAAGTTAAAAGTTAAAGTGAAGGAAAGTTAGAATATATATTAAACTAAAGAGAATGCATGCAAATTACAAAAAATGTTTTAATTATGTACACCTAATTTTCACCTAACACGTGCTTGATTAATATAATAATCTAGATATATACTCACTAAAATAAGCAAAACAGGAGGAATATTAACCCTGAATTATCATTATTTTTTTCTAAAATTATTAAAAAAGTACTACTATGCATCTCTCATAAAAAATTCACAAAACCTTTGAAATTTGCAAAATTATTTTTCTAAACATACAAGCAAATCTTACCAACCGTTTTTAATAACTATTTAATGAATTGTGAAAGTGTCGTTTGAATAATTGTCGTTTGCAAGAAAAAAATCTTTTTACGAAATACATAATTATTCACTTTTCCTTATAATTAATTATAACAAACAGATCCATAACTTATCTATTTTATATTAAAAGTTAATATAAAAATCCACCCGGATCGATATGAATTTGGGTTCAATGAATTATGAAATGGTTGATCATGAGGGATAAGATAATTGGCTTTTTAAATAGTATTTTAAAACCTGCAAATAAATGTATATGGTAGAACTAATGAATCAGTAAAAGTTGAAGGGATGCTAAGTAAACACTTCACTAACCTACGGTGGCAGAGTTGAAGGTGGTGCTTCCCCCGGCGACACTCAGGCTTGCCGTAATAATCGTGTTACTTCTTCCGTCCCCGATAAACATTAAATTGGTTTTGCTGCTTGGAACTTCAACATTTTCCCTATACACTCCTGCCGCTATCTTTATCACATACCTGCTTGTACTTTTAGATGGTGCCGCAGCCACCGCTGCCGCCACCGACGTATAATCTCCACTACCATCCGCCGCCACAGTCACGTCTGGCGTCACGTCTCCCGACTGCATCAGTTTCCTGTCTCCCGCAGACAACCACTCCGGCCACATCGTCACCTCTTGTACTTGCACATCCAACTTTGCCTCCTTCGAATTCAACATATCCGTATTCGTCATGTCTACAATCATAGCTAGCGCATTACTACACATCTTTCCCCCGTGCTCCTGGCCTCCGACAATTGAATTACGCAACAGCTTACATTCTGCATCATGGGATAAGCCATCTAAGCAAGTTTCCTTGTTGGTGATGGTGGTGCTCATGAGTGTTTTGAGGTCGTCGGCATGTCTCCGAAGAGATTTCTTAGTTGGATACTCTCTGAGGTCTCCGATCACCTTGTCGAGTGCTTCTAGCGTTCCAGCTGCCATCTGTAAGCAGTCATGGATAGCGATTTTGCCACGTTTGGTGACATTGGCGGTGGTCGTGAGCTTGTTTATGGCGTGCAAGTTGGCATGGATGATCTCCTTTGTTTTATTGATTGTGTGTTCGATTATGTCCTTTTTAGTTGCGAGGGTTTTGGTGGTGGAGAGGGTGGAGTAGCATATGTCTGGGTATAATGTAGTGGAACAGGAGGATTTGATGAGTTTGGAATCTGGAAGATCACGAGTTCCATGGACAAGTAAAGTTAGTAGGAGGGAAGAAACTAGAAATAAAAGTGCTTTACCGGAGTTGGATATATTCATGAGAATAAAGCTATGTTGTTTGAGTGGAAGACGAACGAGTGAAAGTCGGATATTTATCATCATCATCCTCCACTAGATCTCTTCCACCATAAAGCTTTTATGATAAATTTAAATTCATAAATAAATTAAAGGAAAAACTGCAATAAAGTCCTTACATATTGGCCTCATAATCGATTTAGTTCCTATATATTTTTTTATTCAATTATGTCCAAAATACCGGTAATCGTATTCAATTTAACCCTTTGACCCGGTCAACAGGTCATCAAACGTTCAAAAATTACATTTTTCGCCCAAATTTCAAATTTATTACAAATTTGGTCCAAAATTTACACTTTTGGCCCAGATTTTAAATTTTGTTACAAATTTGGTCCAAACTTTACCTTTTTGTCTAAATTTTAGAATTTTATTATGAATTCATCCTAACTTTAGTTTTTTTTACAACTTTTTTTCTCAAAAAATTGTTTCTAATATGTTTTTTCTTTATAAAATCATATTTATACAAAAAAAAAACGTATTTTCACATAAAAATCTTATATTTTCTATATAAAAACTTTTATAAAAAGTTTTTTGTATATGAAAAATATCTAGTTATAAAAATAAGTATTTATTAAGTATATAAATATGTACAAATCCGTTTTTATAAAAGAATGTATACAAAAACGTATTTTACAAAAAAAATGTATACAAACATATATATATATATATATATATATATATATATATATATATATATATATATAGGTGTGTATCTATATATATTTTTTATAAAATCATGTTTGTTTACATTTTTTATATAATACGTGTTTGTATACATTTTATAAAATGTATACAAACATGTATTATATAAAAAATTATTCAAACACGTTTTTATAAAAAAAATTATAAACAAACACGATTTTATAAAGAAAATATAGATACACACCTATATATATATATATATATATATATATATATATATATATATATATATATATATATAAAGGTGATAGGTGTTTGTATACATTTTTTTATAAAAACGGATTTGTATATATTTATATACTTAATAAATACCTATTTTTATAACTTGATATTTCATATACAAAAAACTTTTTAAAATTTTTTTTTATATAGAAAATATAAGATTTTTATGTGAAAATATGTTTTTTATAAATATGATTTTATAAAGAAAAAACATATTAGAAATAACTTTTTGAGAAAAAAAAGTTGTAAAAAATCTAAAGTTAGGATGAATTCATAATAAAATTCTAAAATTTGGGCAAAAAGGATAAGTTTGGACCAAATTTGTAACAAAATTTAAAATATGGGCTAAAAGTGTAAATTCTGGACCAAATTTGTAATAAATTTTGAAATTTGGGCCAAAAATGTAAGTTTTGAAAGTTGGATGACCTGTTGACCGAGTCAAATGGTTAAATTGAATACGATTACCGGTATTTGAGACTTAATTAAATAAAAAATATATATATAAACTAAATCGTTTAAAAGGCTAATATGTAAGGACTTTATTGTAGTTTTCCGTATTATTAAATTGAGTAATTGCTACCAAATTGAATAAAACGAAGTAATTAATTAAAAATGCTTACGTTAACTATTTTTCTATGTTTTAGACATTGTGGTTCTCAATTTGTAGTAAATGCAGTATAATTTTATATCGGTTTTTTTATACATTTTTTAATGAAAATGAATAATGCCCCATATCATGGGGCACAATTGAATAAGGATTGGTCTTCCTAGTTAAATCTGGCTTATGATATAGTTATACATATGTAGTTTAACTTGTATGATTTATACTGTATCATCGTTCGGTAATCTATAAGTATAATGCATATGATAAAACAATTTTGTTAATCCGTTCCTACCTAAATAATCCATTTGATGGTAATGTGTTTGGCATGGCTTTAATTTTCCCTAACACGTGTTTTCATGGGCCCTATGTCCATTCCTATCATTTTACTTTCTTATCCTAAGCATTTTATTGTACATGAGTAGTACATCAGTATTCAGTAACTTAGACTTTAAACACTGAAGTCCAGAATATTGTAGTTGAAAAACGTATTTATCCAAATTATAGTACTTTTAAGTTTATTTACCACTTAATATATAGTACCTTTTAAACATAAAAGAAAAAAAAATGAAAAATGATCACTTCATTTTGGCCCGTGATTGTTCTTTTGTTACTTTCTTCTCCTGGAAAACCACTATAACGGCCACAAGAACCCTCGTCGCCCTCTCATCAGTCCTCGGAGAACCTTTCACGTACCCCCAAAGAAACCCATCAGTCCTTTTCTCTGTTAAATAATGTTTAATTAACATCAATCTTGAAAGCATCCAACTCTTTTATAATATAAGATCCAAAACCTCATGGTTTCATGAACATGAGCATATTCCTTTTCTGCCAAGCTTGTATATGCTTTCGTCAGCCAACGATTTAAACATAACTTTGTAAACTTTTACATAGTCTTTACCATAACAATAACAATATGAATCAGTCAATTTCATTTTCTGGCAAAGAAACTAAACATATAAGAGAGAATCGTCTCCGACGATAGATATTTGGTTCTATTGAATTTAACTGCTTTTAATAAAATATGTTGGGTACATGAAAAACCATTTTTTTTAATATTTTTGAAACTGCAATACTTTGGTAAATGTTTTTTTTTTAAATGCTACCCGACCATACAAAAGTCATTAAATATGATGTTTGACTAAGGGTGCCATATTATCACAAAATCTCTTAAGTCCGTCAAAAAAAAAATCATTTTATCCTAAGTCCATTAATCCTCAACATTTAAGAATCTTTTCTCATAAATGCACCAAGGCCATGTTGGAGGGTTATGTTGTCGTTAAAACCTGTTCCCACGATTAACTTGTCTCTCTTTGGAGATGGTATATATGCATTGAGAAGGTATGCACGACCAAACATCTCTTTTGTTGTTCAGCATATATGTTTGATTATGCATGATCCACATGAGCCTCACCTGCACACTTTGAAACGCACCTTTCATTACTTACAAGGCGTTATTTATCATGGCCTATAGATCCACGTTTCTCCCACATTGAGTCGCCTACTTGACGACTGGGGTGGATGCCTTGCCACGAGACAGTCCACCTCCGGGTATTGTGTGTTCATGGGAGACAACAAGATCATCTATTTTTTGTCAAAGTCGCCTACATGTACAAATGATGTTAGCAAACAACAATTGACTAAAGATTGTGGAAGCTACATAATGAACTTAATTGCTTCGCTTGTGATTTGGTGCATCTAGCAGTTTTGTTAAATAGTTCAAATAAAAAGGGAAAACGTATTAAATGAAGTGGGTGGAACAAGAGACACTCGCATATGATGTGATACTTACATATCAAACAATTTGATGAAGCATATTTTTGCTTTTATTACACCATACTATGAAAAATCTTTTCACTTTATTATGTTTGTTTTTATTTGTGGAAGAAGAGGGGTAAATACGTTACAAAATCAATCAGAAAATCATAAAATTTTGATGGGTACGGTGTTACATTATAAGACATGTAACATTTTATTAGGATGCAAATTTCTTAGTTTGATTAGCAAAATTAATTTTTTAATACTCGTGTTGAAAAAAGATAGTATTATTGTTCAATCTGTAAGAAAATTGCAGCGTGATAAATTTGGGGTATAAAGATGAGACGAGTGATGAGTTTGGACCAAATGGTGGGTGGTGGTGGACTCTTGACAATTCCAACTTGTTCTCCGTATCATCTTTACGCAATTATATTGATGGCATCATCCTCCCACTACTATTTCTTTGTTTGTTTCTGTTTTTGCTTTTACCTCCTGACTTCTTGCTAGCTTTTTGCTTCGATATAATGTCGGTGTTCAGAAATAATAAAAATATGTACACCAAAATAACAATTGAAAGTATCACGTATGTTGAATAAGCACATTGTAAAAATCTCATCTTCATTTAATTTGTTTTATAGGAAGCAAATTCACGTACATGCCAACGAGAGCATTCTGAGTTCTGAACCAAAATTCTTTACTCCAACAAATTAACTACAATACCCCATCCATTAATCATTATACATCTCAAACTCTGTAAACATGTTTATAAGCAAACATTTATATCCATTTGATTTTTCTATACATAATTGACAAATTAAATCAAGAAATAAACAGGTTAAATGGGACAATGTCTCCATTAACATTAAATGAACAAACCGATTAACTTTGACCTCCTTCAGCATTGTTATCACCAGGGCTAAAAGGATTAAACCTTCTACTGCTGCTCAAAATTCTCCTTAATGACCTCATTCCAGAAAACACTGGAGTTTTCTCAACATCATCCTCACTAACCACCAGCCTTGGTATATCAATTACTAAATCTGGTTTTCCTCTATCATTATTTGTCTGCGATGACAATGATGACGATGATGATGAAGATGAAGGTGGCTCGAAAGGTAAAATTGGAACTTGATGCTGATTATTGGCTTCTTCCAGCTGAGAAGTCAAAGTGCTTACTTCGGTTTCATCACCATGTGAATCCCCACCGTTTGTCCATTGTTCTTGTGTTCGATGATTCTCCAGTAAACTCTCCATCGAAACTCCAGCTTGTTCTTGAACAGGGTTTCTGCAGATGGGGCAAGTTATATGCGAATGAAACCACATATCAATGCATTCCGCATGAAACGCATGATTGCACTTAGGCAAAATTCGGGCTTTTTCTCCTTCCTCGACTTCAGATAGACAAACTGAACATTCCAAACTGTCTTTGAAGTCTTTTGCCTCGAATTGTATGACTGGTATAGTTTTGAGGAAGGAGGCGTCGAGGCCACGCCGGAGGGAAGTGACGCCAGAGTGCTGGTCTTGGAGACGGCCGTTGCTGTGGGCATCTATACCTTGTTGACGGCGGTGCCATAACCACTTGGCGTAGATATGAAGCAAGAAAAAAAGGATGAGGACGATGAACAAGGCAATGATGGTGGCCATCAAGACTCTCCCACTGAGCTTCGAGACACTTGAATCAACTAATCTTTGATCACTCATCTTTTATAAAGAATTAGAAAAGCTTTGATTAGTTGAATGGAAAAGAAACCCAGAAGTGAGAATTGAAATTGGAGGTTGAGGAGAATACGGGAGAAGATTATAAGGATGATGAAATTGCTAAAGACGAAGGAGAATTCAAAGTAGCCATGAGTTTGACCATTCATAGCCATTAACGAATTCAACTGACGGGTAGAATCTAAACTTATAAAGGGTTGACTCATTTCATATTTTAATTATATAATCGAGAAACATGTTAATCTTTGTCTAATAGTGTGTAGAAAATAAGTAATGGGATTAATTAATAAAAGGTAATTTACAAAGATTCCCCCCTGTGTTTTGTTTGAATAATATGCAGAGTCATGTATCTATCCAGAAGCTTCAAGTCAACAGGACATTTCTTGGTATCAAGTATCAACATGTGTTTTGACTTTTTTTGTTTTTTGTTTTTTCTTGTTTTTGGCATTCAAATCTCCCTATCTAATAAACAAAACCAAAAGTACATGTGTCCATTCAAAACAACTGAATTATTCCAAAGTTAAATATCAATTATACCCTTCTTTGTTTCAACTACAAATCAATATCGATAAAACGCCCTGTTTTCTTTCCATTTACTTGGTGATAACAGTTGTAGATATTAACTCAAAAATTCATTACATACCCGATTAATAGCATGTTATTATGGTATCCGATTTCGTATATAAGGTATGATATCAATTGCATTCAATTTGATGTATTCTGCTCAATATATACTTCAAACATATGATATCAATCTATCAGTCGTTCCTTTACAGCATCGTGTTTACAACATCATTCATTTGTAAATTAAGCTACGATTTGAATACCTGATATACCCCTTTGGCCTTTCAGTATTAACGCAATCTAAAATGACGGACTGGAGGTACCTATATGAACGAGAAATCAGCGAGCTCATAGAAAATCTCGATCGGATTAGCATCATGAAGGTGATCAATTCCATATATATTGCTCAATTTGTCTATTTATTTGTGTTTGCTACTGTCATTGATTAGTCAGACAATGAAGAACATCTCCTCCTATCCTTCTTCGTCCTTTCTTACATCGTCGACAAATGTCTTTGATTCGAAGAACAACTCCTTAACACAAACGATTCTAAAATCTATTTCTCTTGCATCTTATCGCTAACCCGAATTTATTTCCCTGTTTGCAACCAAGAACTATACGTCTATACGCCCACGCCAACTTTTGGTTCTCCTATTTTCGAATTGTTTGCAGAAGTGGTGGTTGGATGTGATTTGCAGGTATATATACATATCTCAAGTAGTGTGTAATTAGGGGTTTTCTCTCAATTATAAAAAGAAAATCGCTTGTGACTTGCAGTCAAATTATACTTTGTTAAATAAATCATATATATTTTTGTAGGGGTTTGTATAAAAACAATTCTGGTTATATGTAGTCAATATAATAAGCTTTGGTAGTAATGCCTTATCAGGGCATTTTTAATCAAAACCATGAAAGATTCCTCGAAGTAGCCTGTATTAGGATTTAGGGTTTTGTAATTGTTGATTTGGGGAAGTTGTTTTACTTATGCCTTCTATCTTTTATTCAACTCATGGTGTGTAGGTTTATGCTATTATTTAGTTGAAGATTATACGCCTACAAAAGTTTAAGTTCTATCCCATATTAATCAAGTTATTTTTTTTTCTTTTTCATATATTATTTTAGAGTCCAACATTGATTTTAGTTGATTTCTATGATACTATGAAATAGCAAGAAAAAAAAAAAAAAAAAAAAAAAAAAAAAAAAACACTCACTTTAATTGTTTGATGCACGTCTACTAAATTAGACTCATGAAACCATGCACGATTTTTAACATTTATTCTTGATTACCCTTTTATAGGTGGATCTGATTATCATTACGAAAGTCTCATGGCACTTCTTGAGAAGATTGGTCGATTGAAGATGGCAGGAACGTAAGTTTTTATCTTTCTTGATTAGTATTGGCTGAGAAGGTGTAGTTGTGAGTGTGCATAAGGAGTGTGCATATATCTATTGTAATGTTAATTTAAAGTTTTCAATTTAAAAAATAGCGAATACTTATGTTAATATGTTTGTTATAGCATTCTATTTTTACTTCTTCCTATTACATCATTATACCTTCTACTTTTTCCTAATTATAAGACATTGTATTTTGAAAATTTCATGAGAGGTTTCATCATTTTTTTTCAAATCATTGTGAACACTCTTTGGCAATGGTAGCAGACTAGCAGCGATGTCTCTTGTGGCAAGAATATGATGGATTTAGGTAGGTGGTTTTTTCATGTTTTATTTCCTTTGTTTTAGTTTTGTTTGATTCTTGAATGTGATGTACTATTGGCATGTGTTGGGTGGGAAGAATGAGAAGTAAAATATTTTGATTAGTCATTACGATTTAATATTATCAATATTGTTTTTTTTTATGTCAAAGTATGTTGCTATTATAGGTATTTATGTTCAACTAGCAAAAATTGTTTCTAAATAGTAGTGTCTAGATGCAAAAAATAAAAATAAAAAGTATGCAACTTTTATCGGGCAGCCCGTCCACCGGTTGGGGTTACACTAAGCTTTTGGTCGATAAATCCATAAGATTGGTATTATAGTTTTTTTAATAACAACTTTTATGAAATTTCTTATAATAGACTGGGTTACACTAGGCCTGCTTTTTATGCACCAATATGACTGGATTTAAAAATTAAAAAAAAAAAAAAAAATAGAATGACTCGTTATTTTTGAAACATCGCCCAAAATTAGCCTCTTAATCTGTAAATTAAGAGGCAAACTCTTAAAAATTCAGATTTAGACCGTTTGTTTGGGTATTAATTTTTGCCTCTTAATTTTGTTAATACCTCTTAAAGTTTCAGATGTAGAGCCATGTCTGAACTTAAAAAAAAACACGCTTTCCCTTCCTGCCCTAAAATTTCAGCGCTATTTTTCGTCACTCCATACTTCACGAGACCAGCGTCCGTTTCTCCCACTCAACCCCTTTCCGAGCTGCCTCCCTTCACCATCGACTTCGCCGCCGACAACCCCTCCAACGAGGCCGCCTCTTCGATCGCCGTCGGTAGTGTCGACTCCCTTTGTCGAAGTAGCCAAATTTTCCGATTCCAAGTGAAATTTTATTCCTTTGCCCTAAAACTCGATAATAAGAGCTCTAGTTAATCGATCTCTGTTTTGGGTGAGGATCTAATACGAAGTGGTTGATCTCATGGGAGTTAATCAGTGAGTTGCTATGAAATTTGTGACAAGTTCTATATATTGGGTGCAATGACTTGTGGCTTTCCTGGAAATCCATGAAATTCGACATGCTACTGTGAGGCTTCTTACTCAATACATCTTCATTATGTATTATACAATAATCAAATAATTTATTATGGTGGCATCAATATGTTACATCAGATGGTTAAACTTGTTCATATACAAGATTTAGAGGGCTCATTTTCTGGTTATAAACTTCTTCTATTCATGTATTCCATTTGAAATTCAAATCAATGAGAATTTAATTTATGCATTTGGCAACAAAATCTATAGTGTATATGCTCTGGTGTTTGTATGTCATTCATTTGTGATGTGCAGGTGGAAGCTAAGTGGGATTTGTGGAGGGAAGAACAACAAATGTCTAGACCTGAAGCAATGTTAGGAGGAGCTCCAGGGGTACATGGACATAAAATTCTATCAATACTTTGAAATTTATGGTTATATAATTGATGTAGTAATCACGTTTGACCTTCCATGAACCCAACAAGAAGTTTGTTGAGGTGAAACGAGCACTTCCTAAAGGCGTTATTCCTGGCAGCAATTTTGGCTATTATGATATTCAAATGGATGTTAATAGATTCCTGCAACAAACCTCTGGTTTGGGGCAAGAGGTGGTGGTTAAGATCAGCAAGAGGCAGGTGGTGGTGACAATACGGGCGTCAGACAAACCGGTTACTAATAGTTTGTATGTCATTTTTAAAAGTGTGGTTGGTAGGTGGAAATGTGTAGCTCATGTTTGCAATAGTTGTATCTGTTTCCATTTATCAATTGTGTACATCTTTTTCATTTTTAATGTTTGCAATAGTTTATCTATTTCTATTTATCAATTGTTTACATCTTTTTCATTTTTAATGTTATTGTGGATTTCTTATGGTGTTGTGTTTATATTTGGATTTTGTATTTAATTTGGATTTTGTATGATGCTTATATTTTTTTATAACTATTCAAGAAGTTGGTTAAATTATTATATAGAACAGAAACATTGAATTTAGCTTAAAATAATATAGAAGGGTAAAATGGTCATTTTTCTTATTTAGCACATTAATTCAGAGGTTCCAACCAAACAGTATGTTAAAAAATCAGATCTTAAAAATTCAGAGCCTTTTAGAAATCCAGACCTCTTAAAAATTCAGAGCTTAAAAATTAAGATCCTGCCAAACAGCCCCTAAGTAATAAATACATGTGAGCTCTCATGGTTTATCACCTGGTAATGCATGTTAGAAGTAAAATGGGTTAGATAGCATATGAAAAAAGTAAAATGAGTTGGATAAAATATCTACCAAACATATTATATTTTTTGACATTAATCGAACATCATACTTTTTAATATTTTTCAATTTTGTTCAATTTTGATATTTTATCATGACCTCATAAAGTACCCGATTTGGCATGTAAGATGAAAAATGTGATGTCAAAATTGGAAAAAAAAAATAGAAAATGGAAAATACGCTAGTCTATTTAAAATAAAAATTAACACATGAAAATTGAAAAATATAAAACATATTACACTGTTTTTTGGTACTGTTTACACTATTTTTAATTGAAACCAAACAAAAAAAAAGACTTTCTTATAAAAATCAATAAAATAAAGGGAAAATGACTTGATAGGGTAAAATACTTTTTGAATTGTACACATTTAGTCCTTATTCTTTTTTTTTTTTTGTAAAATAAACCCTTATACTTTATTAATATGTACACATTAGGTCCTTTTCACCGGATTCTACAGGTTTTGCTGATATGGAAGCACAAGTGGCACTAAATAGCAATTAATTAGCTTAGTCACCGGAGGTGGGTGATCCTCCAGCAACAAGAAAAGGGCGGCGACCCTTCTCTTTCTCGTCTCTTCCTTCCGGTCGAACAGCAACAGCCAAACACCCTTTACATGTTGTGTTTCTCCGATCTGTCTCTCTTTGCCTCCATCTTTGAGATATGTTGCCAGAAAAAGAAGTAAGAATCGACGAGGGGGCTACCAGAGCAGCTCCTCGCCGCCAACTACCGTCTCTACTTCCTCCTGCCTCCCCATTCGACCTTGTTGTTTTTGTCATCATTCCTCCTTGCTACCAGTGATGTGTAGGAACACACAAAGGAGTCGTCGGAGATCGGGGTTCTCCTTCTTTTTCATGATGAATAAAAGTTGGAAAAATCTCGTTGTGGATATGTGGATGTCACCTGGGTATTTCATTTCAACAAAATAAAAGAAAGGGAAAATGACTTGATAGGGTAAGATACTTTTTGTAATGTACACATTTAGTCTTTATTCTTTTTTTTTTGTAAAATAAACTCTTCCACGTCAGCAAACCCTGTAGAATCCGGTGAAAATGACCTAATGTGTACATATTAATAAAGTATAAGGGTTTATTTTACAAAAAAAAAAAGAATAGGGACTAAATGTGTACATTTCAAAAAGTATCTTACCCTATAAGTATTATCCCTAAAATAAATAAAATACGTTAATGATCCATACAAATTCTCATCTTCAATTCGTTTTAAAGGATGCAAATTCAAGTACATACATGACAAACTATCATCTTTGATTCGTAAAATTCTTTATCTTCAATTCTTTTTAAAAGAAGCATATTTGTTTTAAAGGATCGTGGAAGTATCACCTCCCCCAAATTAACTAGAACTATTACCCATCCATTATACATATCAAACATGTTTCTAAGCAAACATTCATATTTACTCAATTGTTCTATACATAATTGACAAATGAAAAATTAAATCAAAAAAATAAACAAATTAATTGGGACAATGTCTTATGTCTCCAAACTCAGCTAGCAGCCCCGCCGGCGGTGCCTCTTGTCACATCCATTAACATAAAATGAACAAACCGATTAACTTTGACCGCCGTCGCCATTGTTATTACCAGGGCTAAAAGGATTAAACCTGCTGCTCAAAATTCTCCTCAATGACCTCATTCCAGAAAACACTGGAGTTTTCTCATCATCATCCTCACTAACCACCTGCCTTGGTATATCAATTACCAAATCTGGTTTCCCTCTATCATTATTTGTCTGCGATGATGATGATGATGAAGAAGATGAAGGTGGCTCGAAAGGTAAAATAGGAGCTTGATGCTGATTAGTCACTTCTTCCAGTTGAGAAGTCAAAGTGCTTACTTCCGTTTCGTCACCCCAAAACAACATATTTGCGGGGAAAGTGTGCGAGTTTGAATCCCCACTGTTTGTCGATTGTTCTTGTGTTTGATGATTCTCAAGTAAACTCTCCACCGAAACTTCGGCTTGTTCTTGAACTGGGTTTCTGCAGATAGGGCAAGTTGAATGTGAATGAAACCACATATCAATGCATTCCGCATGAAACGCATGATTGCATTTAGGCAAAATTCGAGTTTTTTCTCCTTCCATGATTTCGGATAAGCAAACCGAACATTCCAACCCGTTTTTGAAGTCTTTTACATCGAATAGTATGACCGGTAAAGTGTTGAGGAAGGAGGCGTCGAGGCCACGGCGGAGGACAGTGACGCCGGAGTGCTGATCTTGGCGATGGCGGTTGGTGTGGGCGTCTATACTCCGTTGACGGCGGTGCCATAACCACCTGGCGTAGATATGGAATAAGAAAACAAGGATGAGGACGACGAATAAAGCTATGATGGTGGCAATCAAGACTCTTCCGGTGACCTCCATGACACCTGGATCATCCAATTTGTTATCGCTCATCTTTAATTTGATCAAGAATTAGAAAAAGGTTTAGAATTGTTGATTGGAAGAGAAACCAAGAAGTGAAAAACAAAAACTAAATTGGAGGTTGAGGAGGAAGTGGGAGAATATTATAGGGAGGAGGAAAAGGAGGTGAAATGAGGTGAAGTAGTGGCGGCGTTTTAGGTTGCCAAAGAGGAAGAAGTATTCAAAGTGGCAATCTGTTTGACCATGTATAGCTATTTGACGAATTCAACAGACGGGTAGAATCTAAACTTCTCAACCGTTTAGACTCATTTTCATCTTTTACTTGTTTATTTAGTAACCTTTTCCTTGAAAATTTATAAAAAAATAATAATAATATTAAACCTTTTTCTTTGTTAAACATTTAAATGCAAATTAACAGAATGAATAATTAAATATCGTATTATCCTGATCTAAAGAACAAATAATGGGATATAAATTGAAAGCGTTAATTTACAAAGATTCAGCCCTTATCTGTGTTGTTGAGCAGCCATCCATCCATCCACTTTTTAGAATCTATGTGGTTGTGGGGTTTGGTTTAGAAGTCAGTTATATGTTGGCAACCAAACTTGAAGGACTCGGGGATGGATTTTTCTGTTTGAATAATATAACGAGTCATGTATCTAGATATCTATCTAGAAGCTTCACGTCAACAAGACATTTCTTGGTATCAACCTATGCATTGACTTCTTGTTATTCTGTTTTATGCATTAAAATATGATAATGTTAAATTGTTAATAACTAAAACAAAAACGATGATTGTGATTGTGATGTCATCGGTTCTAAAAAAATAGTTTTGAAATTCCTTCCATCTTACTTGAAAATTAAAATACAAGAAAGTGAATCAAAGAAATTGATTTATGATAAGAGTTTACTTATGTACCTTCTAATATACTCTTAAACTTATATATTTGTCTAAAATAAGATTTGAACATTCAATTAATATGCATCGTATAAGTGCGCTTATAATATCGATAGACTATGGTGGTGTTTGTTTTGGAAGTGGTCAAATGTCTTTTGTCTTTTTCCATGTCTGCCTAAGAAGATGTGGACTAAAAGTCTTTTTTTATGTATTCATACAAAAAGTCTTAATGCAAAAAGATTGTTTGTTTTTTAATTAGAATGAACTAAAACTTAAGAGATCTTGTAATAAAGGAGATCAATTAACCATATTTTTTTCTAATATTAAAATATGAATAATTCACGTTGGTTTTTAATAAATTGAAAAATCTATCCATTTAATAATATTTACGAACAATTTAATAGATTTATAGTATTTTGTAAGAAAATATTAGATAATATGAAAAAGCAACATAAAAAAAACACATTAGATTTTTTCTTAATAAGAATTGTATACTTACACGTTACCACCCGATTTGCATTAATTTCCATTATTCAACAACAAAACCGATCATTGAAATTAATGTTGAAACAACCAAAGCCCAAATGTTAAAAACTCAGCATCTCATACATTACTAATCTATTAAAATTTATATTTGACTCAAACTTTGCCAATAACAATTTCATACAGTTTCAAACCTATAATACTTTTTAAAACATTAGATAAACTATATATATTTCAATTCAAACCGGAAGGCCACTTACTTATTAAAGTTGATATTTTTAAAAACATAAAGCATTGTTTTCATGATTGTCTTACAATATTAAAACTAAATTCACAAAACTAACATATTTTTTATGAAATCATTCATTTTACATTTCGCATTAACCGGTCAGCAATTTGATCTCGTAGATGAACCATATATTCCCGGTCTCTTACACTTCCGTGTGGTTGTACCTCATCCACGTCATCCTCCTCATCATCATCATCATCATCATCCACGTCATCCTCCTCCTCCTCCTCATCATCATCATCTTGTACAGTTTGCATTAACTGGTCAGCAATTTCAATTGTTTTGTGAAGTATCCATGTCAAACTTTTCTTTTAGAGCTTTCCCTAACGTCACCCAAGACTCCTTGTGCATGCTACCTCCTTTTCTACCAATTTTGTTGACCTCTTTGATACTAGTATCTAATAAACATTTTACTTGCTCGTTCGACCACTGTAGTTTGTCTCGACATGTTAGACAAACAATATAAAATAGAAACATTTTATGCAAATGAATCTAAAGTCGATGACAAATAACATGATGTTGATCAAGAAACAAAATTGAATAAAAGCACTACACTAGAAGCATGTAACAAAATCAACAACATTGAGAAATCAACAACATTAACAATGCATTCTTTGATGACATCAAATATACTCATATTCAAGCATAGAGTACAACATTCTAATGCAGCCAAGTCTCATTGTTATGGGAATTGATCATATTCTGATCAGAACATCACATACTTCATATGTTAAAAGGTACTCTACTTATGTCAAATATGTATACTAATTTTCAATCTTAAAAATATATGGTCTACCTATGAAATTCAACACCAAGTTCATATCCCTCCTATTATTGCCATCAGAAATCAAATGGGTTTTCAGAGTTTCTCAAAATTCTTAACAATTAATCCCATTTTGATTTTAAGATTGATTTTAAAACATAAAGGTGGGAAAACTGGAAGTTATTTGAGAAATCAACAACATTGAGGTTTTTATTTGACAAAATAGTAGATGGGATTTCACTGTTAATGGAGTCTAAAGTGATAATACAAGTTGAGAAGAGATAAGAAAAGAAAAACGAGGCAGAAGACAGAAGAGTCGCATAACAGAAGAGCCAAGAACAGAAGGATGAAGAGAGATGGAACGATACCTGATGAGCCGACGGCGACCTAGAGCGGCGGAGGCTGAGTGAGACCGATGTCCGCTGGAGGTATTGGCTGTTGTGGAGAGATCGTCGTTGTGGGAAGATGCACTCGTGAAAGGGGAAAGATCAGATGGGGGCGATGGAGGCGACAAATGTATTCCACGATTAGAAGAGGTATTATTAGGTCTTTCCGGAAAAGTGATGAAAAAGGCTTTTTGGGCTATTTTGTCTTCCAGAAAACAAAGAATATTTTTGGGTAAATGTCTACCCGCCGACAGATGAAAGAGCCCAAAAAGTTTTTTTTTTCTAAAAACCAAACGAGCCCTATGACTATGACCATTTGGTTGATTTATGCATTTATTAGTATATTTTTTTAAATATTATATTAAATGATATCGTAATATCCGTAATTAAATGACTTCTTTTAAGATATAAAGCTGACCTCTTGCCAAACTTGGTAACTTGGCATAGGTTAAGGGTGAGCAAATGGACCGCACAAACCTAATCAAACTGGTGCGGGTGTTCTTTATTGATGTCTATATTCATGTATTCTAGTTGTAGTGTTGTACCGATTTGTTTATATATATCATTAATGTATTTGTTTATATATATCATTAATGTATCCTTGTGTTATGTTTATTTTTATTGTAATGGTGTACTGTGCATGTTTAGGATGATGATGATACCTTTGTGGAGAATACTTAAAAATGAGACAATATGGAACAAACGAATAAAATAAAATGATAATATAATGAAGGGTTGATAATTTATACCAAGGTTGCAGAAAAACGTTAGACGTTAGCTAGTTGGTGGACTGGGGTCTAGGGATTAATCGGCTAGGCGAGGATTAATCGGGAGATTAATCGGGGACCATTAATTATTAAGAAAATTATTCAAAAATTTATAAATCTAACTTTAATTGTAATAATATAAATAAATAAGCATAAAAGTTTAATTATAAGTGTAACAAGTACAACAATTTATCATCCAATTAATAAGAAAAGTTATTCAAATTTTAATATATTGTAACGACACAAAAATCAAGGACAAAAATTTCATTTTTAATATAGCTAACACATTAATACCATTTATTTCGAACATTTCAAATCATCGTTAAGTAAAACATTTATCATAGTTCATCCCAAAATCATTCGTTGCGGAAATCATAGGTGTGTGCACTGCGATCAATCCGAGTTCTTCTTTTCCAAAACGTTGAGACTTGAAAACCAAAACTGTAAACCGTAAGTACAAAGCTCAGTGAGTCCCCCAAAGCATACCACACACACAATCCACATAACACATATCATATTAGCCATAAAAGTTATCTCTACCGCATACCACATATCGATTAGCTATAAAAGCTACCTCTACCACATAGTACAGATCAATTAGCTACCAAAAGCTGCCTCTACCACATATCACATATCCATTAGCTATAAAAGCTACCTCTCTCACGTATCACATATCAAATAGCTATCAAGTTATCTCTACCATTAGCCACAAAGGTTATCTCTACCGTCAGCCCCAAAGGCTATCTCTACCGTTAGCCACACAGGCTATCTCTACCGCATATTATCACATATTAAAGTCACACACCTCTACACAACAAATATACCAACTATCATAATGTAACACCCATAAAATTCAAGCCAATTTAAAACATTTTAACCCATTCAAAAAAACCATTAAGTTATTACAATTTGTTTTCAAAATAGTTTAAACATCAGAGTATCCCCAGAACCGAATCACAAAATCATGAAATATGAGGAGCGGTACGATCACGCCTTTGCCTTGCCACGATCACCTGATGTACCCGAAACAATAAACTGAAAACCGTAAGCTCGAGTAGTACCCCCGTACACACAACAAACACATACACGCAATGAACAACATACTATGGGTCCAATCAACCATCAGGTTGGAATACCCCAGGCCCTCAACCATCGGGTTGGAATGCCAACATACTACGAGTCCAATCATCCTTGGGATGGAATACTCTCGGGCCACAACCATCGGGTTGGAATGCCCACACACCTATACATACAATAACTACTATGGGTCCAATCATCCCGCGGGATGGAATACCCCAGGCCCTCAACCATCAGGTTGGAATTCCCACCTACTATGAATCCAATCATCCTACCGGGATGGAATACTCCTGGCCCTCAACCATCGGGTTGGAATGCCCACCTACTATACATACACTAACTACTATGGGTCCAATCATCCCTCGGGATG